GATAAGTAAGTCAGGGGTGAGAAATCGAGGGCTTCTTCAACATCGCCGTAGCCCACTGCAGCCACTGCTGAGTTACTTGAGTTCATGGTTGGTAGCATGTGGATAGAAATGTCGTCTATTACTCCACTTAGGTCTCGCACCAAGGCTTCAGAAGTGCAGTGAATATCGATCGATAAAATATACACAAAGCGCAAAAAGCAGCCTACTATTCGATTTCTTTAAGAGCTTTCTATGCTCACGTATTAATAGAATGTACCGCTGGGACTGAATCACCGACGAGGGAGCGTATGAATACGGAAAAAGAATAATCAAATGTGAATATGCCATTAGATATGCGACTAAGTCAAGAGTGACTCTAGCCAATGGCGCCTATTCAGGAACCATTTGTTAGATAGGGTGCAGTCGTCAACCTCTACTTTTCCTGTATGTGAGTGGTATATAGCTCCCGCTGTTGCGTGAGTAGCCGCCCAAGACCATAGGAAACTTAAGTGCTTCGCTAATAAATACCCTTGGTTTAGGCATTCCGGTCGCTCATTTGTATTCGTTCTGTTGTACTGCACGGTGTCGCATTGTTATCCATTGAGCTGGTGTTAACTTAATATGCCTTTCATCTGCATGACTGGACTCCTACTGACACGCTGGACATTGTGGAGTGTTAAGCCTAAAACGGCGTTGCACATGAATTTCTGTCATTCTCGTGGAACAGATCGAACTGAATAATAACCTGAACTGGTCAGCCATGTGTCTTTTAGATGAGTCTTATAAGTGGTACGGGTTACCAGACCATGTTTGACAGACAATTTCGGTCACATTTCTCTGGTTATCCCCATCGCACTTCAACATCATGGACCACCATCTATGCAAAGTAATGGACTTAGAACGCCTTCTGTTCATCGTTCCATTTTTCCTTCACCTATATGCCGGGGGCTAACCTCAAACTGCGTGTGACACGACCCATTGTGCGGGGCGGTTTTTTCGGGTGTGATAGATCAGTCCAGAAGTGCGTGTCGGTCTAAGTTGATGCGTTCCCAATTTTTAACCCCACGGAAGGCCGTTTCTGCTCATCCTAGCCTGCCAAAGAAATTACTCTGGTCAGGCTTGAGGGAAATGAATTGCCAAAACTTCTGAAACCCTATTTGATCACGGGGATTATTTCGTTACTTTTTGACACAGGTAACGTTTTCAACTTACCAACCTAGCAGCGCACTTCAGTAGCTGTGTTTGCCAACTGGCTTAAATGAATAAGAAATCTTAGGGGATAAATCAATGAACCCCACCATTGAAAGACGACATCTGGAACACCCATGTATTAGATGCTGGTAAACTATACATGTCACTAATCGGAGGCTGAATGTTATTTGTGGTGGCTCCACCAGAACTATATAGCCATTCACGTGTAGCAATACATTCAAATTAGAATTTTTCGTGATGCATCAGGTAGTGCAACTTAGTCGCACTGCTGACCAGCCTCCCATGACTGAATAATTAAGCGGTCATACTACTAACCGGCAGTTCGAGAACTCATGGATTTTTGTGAGATGGCACTGGTGATGATTCTTAATAGGGATGAAGCAACTGTACAGTGGTTCTCGGCCTTTAAGCATAGACTAGCTTCGCTTACAGCCTGAAATCTCAATTGAAAAATAATGTCATTCAAAACCCTTGTTGGAACTCAGCAGATCTCACGGCCTCATACATAGTGTTGCAAATGAACAGAAATGTTTGTGGAATTATGCTTACAAAATAGCTTCATTTGTCTGTGAGTACTGATTTGGACACTGGAATTCAGATGTGCTCATGTTGCGGCTTTTATTGGATGCTTCTCTCTGTGGATTGGAGGCAGCTTTGTGTGAGTTCAATGAAGCAGGCCGTTTGTCAGATTATCCGAACCTGACTCAATCACCGGTGTAGACCTTTGCCACCGCCAACTTACCCACATTTTATGGACATGTAATGAGAATTCTACTCGCATCCCTGTATTGACACGTAAATTAATCACCTACCGCCTCCAATGCATAGCTACCTACCCTTCCTAAGTCATCGGCGAACAAGAGCGTGGCGGACACGTGTACGGCGATTACCCGTTCTTCATAGCTGATGAAGACGATGATGATGCCGTCAAGGTTGTACATTTTGATTTGTGGAAAGTTTATTGTCCAAACCGGTATTGACAAGAACTGCCTTGCACTCGGATGACGTCTCCAAACGCCTTGCTTTGAGATAATATGCAGCTTCAAGGTTTAGTCTGGGCATGAACAAGGACAGGCGTTTCATGATGGCAGATGACCAACCGGGATTAGTAAGAATTAGACACTGACAAACAAGTTTTTACCGACGGTAACTCATCGGTTGCATGTGGTGGGCAGTGATTTGCATACAAATACGTGCTATTTACTTATTCTCGGGCAAAGGTTATGCAAATTAAGACCAGTTGTTAATGTCCGTCACATTTATGATGTGATATTCATTACAAACTGCCTGAATGAGTGAACATGTGGGTACTACAGAGGGCTTGTGGCAGGCAAGTGTTAGATGCCACATCAGTATCCGAATATTTCGCTCCAGGAACATTTCCGGTGAGTAAATTATCACCCTCAAAGTAGCCACTCAATGACATTCCGGATAGCGGTGCACTCGGTCTTTTCGAACTGCTAAATTAATCATCATCATCATCACCATCATAATCATAATCATCAACAGCTGTAAGAAGCTCGTGCTTGTCGTACAGTGGTTGTCGCTGCCATATTTTCGTTCAGCGATGATTTGGGGAGGTGGGGTATGTAGCTGTGGAACCTGATGAGTTGTTGCGTAAACACATACCTGTCAGTGGACCTTAAAGGAGGGAGTGGGTTGGGGGAGCTATGCATTAAAGACAATAGTTTGGATGCAAGGGTGCCATTGAGGGCCCGACTGGACCATGTCCGTCAGTGTCTCTAATAAATAGAAATAATAATCGTTCAGCCGTAGCACCCTTTCGGTGCCTAGCTGCCATGCCACCCGAAGGAAGCAAAAGGGCTAGGACACTGTCAGGTTGCGCAAGCCTAGACAGGGGAAGTCGAGAGGCAGAGGTCGGGTTCGAACCGTGGACCTTCCGGTCAGTAAATTCGCACTCTAACCATTTGAACCTACTCGCCCTAGGGGTCCCTATCCAGGAGGACGACAGTGACCAACGCAGTTGGCTTTTACATTTCATTGTTAAATTCAGAAAGAACTCGTTCTATAACATTAGCATGATCATAAGATTCCAAGAAATGAAAACAGATAAAATCAACAAGCAAATGAAAGGGATAGGCAGAAGGCTAGAGAGAAATATAGAGAGTAACATCAATTCCTGATTATAAGGCCAAATAATGACTTATTAGAAAGTGAGTCTAGTCAGTCTGTCGGTTTAGTCGGTACACAAATTTTACTTGGCATAAAGAAGATGGCGCCTTCCGAATTACAGGTAAGATTAGGCACGGTGCGAGACCAGAATGGCGAAGGGATTAGGAGGATAACAGATGGCGGAGTTACTTTATTGCAATTAATATGAATAGCTTCCGTAAATAGCTGTCGAAAAATAACGGACTCATTTCTTATTTTGATTACATCATTACCCGATCGAGATAAATCGAAACTGTCTTTGATAGTTCTGTAGAGTGTCGTCACAAACTCTTAGCAAGCTAAAACGATGCATCATGTGCTTGGTCTAGGTTCATCACTTCAAATTAGTCAGTGTAAAAACTTGCTGCTTTTGCAGTTACCCGACAATAGTATTGGAACGAAAATCCTGTAATTACGTTGGAGTCCTTCCCCTTTCGAAGGATGGTCTTTTGAAAACGTGTTTATCTTGAGGAATACAGACCTTTGGACTCCACATTACAATATCATAATCTGATGATTTTTCAGAATAAGTTGTGGCTAACATATGCGGCTTATTGATAACAGTACGGAAATGACCGAGAGTGAAATGTCTATCAACCGATAAGTCCTGTTCATCTATTCTTGTTTTCGCTGTTATGATAGGACTACGTTCAAGGGCAACAATGTCCTGAACTTAGCTGGCTGCGCTTCACATGAGGAATTCCCAGATGACAGATGATTTTCTCGGAAAATGATAAACCCCTCTTGATCCATACCAATCACTTTGCTGTTCTGCGGTAAAAATATTGTTTAAGCTGTTGAGTAGCGTTATTGAGAGGGGAACACCAGAACGACCGAAAAAATTCGATCCCACCGAAGCTGTCACTGTCAAATCTGCTTGCAAAGCAGAACTGAAACCCGTGCAAGCGAAATAACCAGGCGCCAAATCCGTTATAATGCTTTAATCAGTAAATCGAGATCTCTGCCCTTCAGTGCATATTGTGTGTTCCTTGGATAGTACCAAGGACAACTTTCGCAAATTTGTCACAGAGTGAATCATAAGTACCGCACTAAATAGAGAAAACTGAGTCACCTGAGAGGATTCAAGATCTGTCACGAATTCCCCAACTCGGTTAATGCGAATACTGTTGCGTTCTTATCTTGATTGGCTCCAGAAGGCAAAGTTTACTGTCACGTGCGTTGAGCGAATTTTACTCAAGGAAAAGGCGACAACTTCAACATCTCAATGCATATCCAGCTAAAAATGGGTCGTAAAATTGGTCTTAACAATATCCGTAACTGTCAGAAGTTATGAAGTGACCATTTATGGAAAATTCATGCAGTTTTTTGTAGGTGCGTGTACAAGTTGGACGTACATTCTTTCAAAAACTACTTCCAGCCAGAGGTGATCACACGGCCTTTCAAGTGTTACCCTACGTGGTCCGCCTTATCTCACTACGTTATTAGGCCTCAACAGGTTATGGTCTATGTACCATTCTATTCAGTGAAACGTTTTTATTGTGAGGAAGTTCATGAATAGCATTTAAATAACCTTAAACTTTCTTACCTTATTTTGTGTTAGGTCAACATCATACAAACCTGCTTCAACATAAAACTGACGAAAACGGAAATAAGACCAAGTTTTAGAAAACAAGAGGGATTTATTCAACACAGTCACAGATGAATATATGCAGTACACAACTTGAAACAGGGCACATACTGATAGGTCAATCTGGAAGCAGGGCGTCGTCCACTTCCTCGTCAGCGAATTCATCTTGTACCGGTCGCGACCGAGCTGCCGTTTTGGGTCTTTCGGCAGCCGGTCCCAATGGATCACTATATATGAATGAACCGCTACTCCCTTGGTCAGCGTCATGTGAAGTTTCGTCATTTGTCTCTGGTTGTTTTGGAAGGGCACTGATATTGCCTCTCATTAGTGCCATTCGTGCTAGGTCTCGCTTAGCACTACCTTCACGACTATCCCCTGTGAACGAGGAAAAATATTCCTGCAAGTTTTGTCCGGAGAAGTGGGATTGTTTATGTGTGGAAAAAGCGAAACACACTGGATACACTGACTACCGAATATCACTTAAGTAAACGTAAGCTGGAACATCCAATGCATCAGAAGAAACGATGCAAAACGCGACCATTTTTACAAAAGCACAATATTCCATTAAGGCTGTGATTCCATTAAGGTTTTGATTATGGTCCCACTGACAGTATCCTTGGTAAAGCTTTAGAGCTTAGTGGCAGACTTGTGAAATAATGTGACTGGATTGACTGCTAGTTTTGCTACTTTGGCTGACAAAATCAGATGAAGTGCTTCCGGCCTTTGATTTATGCCTTCTCAATGTTCTTCTCAAAAAGGCCAAAGGGAGAAGTTGTTCCGAATTCCACAAATGAAGACCCACAAAGTCTACTTGTGGTGTAATTAGTCATTTTCTGCCGTCGCGGTGCAAAACGACAGTCGAGGGTACTCTCGTAAACGGTTAAATGAGTCACATCCTACTGGGTCGATATCAATCCATATTTATGAATTTTCTAGAGAATTGTGGGTTTTCAAACAGCAACAGCATCTTTTTAGAACCGACGTAGTGACTCCTAGAGTAAACATTTGAACGAATCCATTGAAGCATGGTTAGAGCTAGCTGCTACCATTTTGGACCTACCAGCTTTCTGTCACGGCAAAATAGGCGGGAAAGCTAATGCAAGATTCCTCATGGTTTCCACCTGGTCCTATAATTTGAAGATTCTGTTCAATGACATTGGGACTCCGAGAAAGTTTATCACACAGTGGGTAGGTACAAAGGTTACGTTCAGCACTCTGACTGGCCCACGCATGGATAAAACAATATAACGGAGCCTCGAGAATTTATCATAAGTGCACTTCCTTATTGATAACGATAATCGGGCATGAATTGCGTGGTAGAATTATAGGAACACATCGGCTTGTCACGAGATCTTTTCGGCAGAAGCCTTCAACATTTTGCGACCTAAAGATAACTAAGGCTATGCTGATTAAGACCTGCTTTGAAAATTTCAGCTTCCTAAGTTAATTAGACGGACAGCTGCAACAAAGCTAGAAAGTTTCTGGACAAAACTGTTATGCTACTTTCGCCTACACGCTAGTTCTGGTATTTAATATCACGTTGATTGGCTCTTGTAACAGGGAGAGCCAGCTTTGCAGGTGTTCTGTGCAGTCACCATGGACGAAAGGCGGTTAGAAACTAGGTCAGCACAGATGCACCGAACACCTCCATATCGAACCTGGTCGTGTCGATCACGGGTCTCGGCTGCCATCTAACGTAGCAGCACCACCGTGAATATGACAAATGCATCAGCGGATGCTTGGAAAGCATGCTTTGAGACAGTTTGACATTTGGCTTAAACATTCCATAAATGGCTCCTCCTCTCTGAACGACCTTGTGTCAGATGCCTATTTCAGCTGCATATAAGTGGTTAAAATAGGTGGTTTTTCGCCTAGGAGGCAAGACCTAGGCGGGGCACTCAGTAAGGCAATCAACACTTTCACTGTATTGAATACTATATGAAAAAAAAACTATAAAAAACTGTCGTTTTTAATAAAGAAAGTTGCAGCATTTCAGAGGACTCCGAAGTGAGGAACTTTGTTGAGGTGCATCCATAATCGCTTTACATGAAATTCAGCGTGCCTTGTTGCGTACCGTAACAGTGACGGCCTTTGGGGATTGTTGGATGTCCTAAACCGGAACTATTGATCATCCACCGAGACTAACAGCAGTAGTGTGCTGTCAGTTGCATTGCTATTCTGCCTGAAGGGTTGTTTTTGGTCCGTTTGCGCCTGATACCGTTGATAAATTTCAAGTGATGATGTGGTCTTTTAAAAAGATGGAATGTAACCGTCGCTCTCGCGAGTTTTTGTCAGCCCCTCAGTTTTTTCTGATTCAGCTCGCGGATTCATCCAACAGTCGTCCACCGCCCGTCAAGACTGCATGGGTATATGTTCCTTTTGCCAGGAAGCATAATTTACATGTGAACCCTTGACACTTATTCGTCATGGTACTTAATCAACAAAGCAGCTATTTACAAACGTCACGACTGTTTAGACATATCGGCAAAAATAGTGACTATAGAAATCCTTGAAATAGGTTGCCCACGTCAACCTAATCTTCAGATTATAGCATCTTATTTCATTATGCTACTTTTCGACTTTGAAGTTTTCATAGTATCGTCAAATAATTTGAAATGACACTCACAGGTCGGTTATTCCCACCGTTCCCATAGCAGTCTTCGTTGTAGTGGCTAGCATTACCCTGAATGTTAACTCTGTGTGGCTTATCAATTCATCTGGTATGTTCGTTACACTATTGATCTACCGTTTGTGCCGATTATTTAATGGTTTCACGGCTGGGCGAAATTTAATATGTAACATTAACTTTGCCCATGTTACTAGCTAGCACCATATGAAACTGACGAGCTCGGGAGATGAATACAGCATTCGCGAAACTGGTACCATTGAGATTCTGCCCTTTTTAACATTCTAAATTTATCGAATGTCATACTGACAGAAACCTCAAGGCTAACTTCTAACAAAAAACAAAGAGTTTGCTGATTTGATCATTTTCCGGCTAAAATGAGATTTTTTCTCCGTAAACATAACACGACGTTCAACGAAGTGTGAGCAATGGTTCGGCAGTTTCTAGGCTATGTTGTCAAGAATGTATCTTTAACTCGTTTCCTTTTCTACCCTGAATGGACACGGACAGATTTACATCAGCTACTGTGAGCTCTTGCTATAAGTATATGAGTTACCGAGTTTCTAGAGTTAGCATCACTACGCCAATACATTTAGTTGATCACTATTGAGACAGATAAGGCAACGAGATTATTCCAGATGGATGCCACAAAAGCGTTGAGTATCCTAGAACGCCTACCAGTGCTCAAAGGCAAAAAGCAACTCTACAGAATGTTTGAGTGCTCTGGCTGAGACAGAGCCTTCACCGAGCCATATGTCGACCCATAAAGAGGAAGCACTTTTACGACCTATTTTGGATAAGTGCGATTTGCCCTTTCATGCTTTACTATAAGGGTTAGCTGAGTTGGTGGGAAAAACTGAACTTAGAGAGAAATCAGAGTTTGATCAGCTCAAGAGGGGAGTAATTTAAAAGTTTCGTCAACCTTCGATAAGAAAAGTTGTCACTCAAGAAGCCGCTCAGTATGTAGCCACGCGATGTGCATTCCATGACCAGAAGATGAGTGGCGCTATATCCTGTCCAAGTGCGAGTCAATCACACACCTAATGGGCCACACGTGGCCATTCGTGTTCGAGCTGTCGAAGTTTGTAAAGTCTTACACTTATAATATTTGTTCAGATGCTCACTGTCGATGGTTCGCAATAAGGATCAAGCATATATATGGCAGTTCCCAGGTTTTCGTATTAGATTAGTTCCATTAAGAGAATCTCATCATCAAGGTGTATATGCGGGAGGATAACACCAAAGAGGTGCCGGGACATACTACTAAGCGCTTAACACCGGCAATCTCTTCAGCTCTACCTATTACAGTGAGTATAAAAGTAAGCAGTACGTCTTACAAATAAGGGGCAAAATAGTATTGAGCTTCTATCTTGAAAATTAACCAAAGCTATCTGAAAATACTTCCATACGGCAAAACCGATTGTGAATATTTCATCAATAATCGTGTTCTAATTACAAAATAAAAACAGCCATCTTTTAGAGCTGTCTTCGTATTGTACTTCCGCGCTTGATCCACTAATCGAGCTGTATATCAACTATAAAATTTTTGAGGATCTATGAGAGTGAACTTATCCCGTTTGAGCACACGCTGTCATTTTGAACTCTGTGTGCAGTGATTTCAGTCAATCTTGTCTTCTCTTCACCTATTGGTAGGAGTGTAAAATGCGCCCCTCCTTCGTTTAATTGAAACCGACTATTCTCCGGATCCTACGATAAGGTAACTCAATTGGGTTTGAAACTTTTGCGTTTCCTTCTTTACTTATCTTATATATATGTGCATTAGCTAAAGTTGTGATGAGGGAAACAACATAATTAAGAAGAGTCACAAAAGAAAGGAGCGGTCAGGTACCACTGTCACTATGGACAGATTTCCTGTGATTTTGTTGCCGACAGTAACAGTAATGACAATGACAGTAATACTAATTGTTCCAATTTATTCGTAACACGGAATAGGTCAAAAATACCTTAGTTTCCTGGTGGAACACGGTACTCATAAAACCGATTTAAACAACTTCGACAACCCGACACTGGCTTTATCCTCCTCGGGGCTTGTCAAGAAAGCGCAGTTCCCAAGTCTTCGTCAATCGTATTTTCAACTTGTACATACACTTTGATGCAACTGGCAAGATACAATCACTCGCAAATTCAGTGAACGCCAAGAGCAAACTCAACGGAATCCAAGCAAATTCTCTTGCTTATGATATTATCCAACTAAATGGGCTAGTATTACGGTACATCAGAGCATATTTTTTAGCTTAATGGAACACCCTAATCATCACCATCCTCATCAACAACAATACACTAGTAATAAATATCGGTAGTTAGCTGCCAAACTACTCGTAAGGTTGCTGATGTCTCCACTATCCTGTTTACTGCAACATGAGGGGGGTTTTGTGCAGCACATTCAGTTTAGAGCCATCATAAATAGGAGGTCCATCTGGGACTCATTTGCGTCTCCCGTTAACATCGACTGAATTCGCAAATGAGTATATTTCACCAATACATTAGTTTGCTTAGATTTTCCACTTCGAAGACACCGGATAACATATTAACCTTCACCACCTACCGCAAAGCAGCAAGTTCCCAAATTCCGTTCCAACAGTCTGTAAACGGAACCAATTAAATGCCTCCCACCAAGCCACAAACATTTGTACAATGAAAAAGAGAGAAAGAGGAAATGAATCCATGCCTACCATGGAATGGCTACTTGACGCTGGTAGAGCCCGAAAAAGACATACAGCTGCTGTTCTCCCAAAAAACTACAGTTTCTCTTAGATTTAACAAATATTGTCAAATAAGTCTTCATACAGTTCTGATCAAATAGAACCTGACTAAATGCCACCGACGAAAACAGCTATATAAAGTAGCAATGCTTAGAACCCAAACGATGACAGTAAAGTTATACACATAGTGGCAAATTATTTGGCGCTAACGTGAAATCAACCAAATATCAGCCGTCTCTCGTTAGTCTGAAAATTAAAACTGAGTCTTTCTCACCCCCGCTGCTAGCACTGGCGGAATTCTCGCGACTTCCATTCGGTCGGGCAGCGCCGCCACCTCTTCGGCTACTGGCAGAGAGTTGACGTTGTTCTCGGGCTTCCTTTACTTTTTCTGCGCGTTTTAAGCGGTTTGCGTATTCCTGTGCCTCGGGAAGTCCCATGTCAGCACACAGACGAACAAGGAATCTTAGACCTGATGGGGGAAAGTGTGGGAGAGGAGAACTTTGTTACGTTTTTAGCCACTTGAAGATTACGATACAGTTGTTCATATAAAAAACCTCAGTATCTGGCTCTTTGAGGGAGTTTTATGGGCCACTATGGTACATGCCAGAGAGATTAGGTTGCGCCATATGGTTTTATCCTACGTGGCTGTCACACCGACAAGCAAACATGAGCATAAGCAGCATGTCCTTGTGAGCACATCAAGCTACCGAATAACAATAGATATGATGTATTCGTGTAAAATATGAGCAGGACAAAAAGCACAAAGCTATTAAATATGCAACCAATTTCTTTAGGTTAGTGCACCCTTTCTAAAGAGTAAAGTGCAGTGGAAATGCTGCACATTCTTCTTAGCCTCAGCGATGTAACCTATGTTGTAAATGTCTACGATTTAACGCAAATTACGGGGTCTATTAAATCACAGGAGTGAAAGGAGAGTGTGTTGGTTAGTATTCGGGAAAGTTCTGTAATGGAACACTGTGGGAATGCTTACGTTAACGGATAGTTCAGCTTTCATCGTTTGTTAAATTCCCCGAAATTTCCTTAGAGGGCATGTGAAGCTGACTAATGATGAATATCCGGACATGTAAGAATACACAAGAGCGGATGCTTACAGTCAATGTTGTCCGGGAACTGTCTGTGCATTGTTTTGTACGTTTCTAACGCCTGCTGGTAATTTCCGCTCCGGCGGTGACAGGAAGCGATCATCAAAAGCCATTTGGTTTGATTCGGTCTGCAGAGGATTTAGGACGAATTGGGAGACTTGGAATAAATGTCGGGTTGAGGACTTACTCAAGTGAGACTTATTAAAAGAAGACGCATTTTGCAGATACCAATAACAAAGCTCCTTTCTGATTAAAATGCAGTTTGAACCAAACAACTGCGCTATACTAATGTAACTCGTCTTTTAAGCAAATCCTACATATCAAGGCAGAAATACTATTATCAAAATAAGCAGTTGGTCCCACAAAATCAAAGCTAACTAACCATTCACTTCGTATATCTTTTACACTTTTGCAACAGGCAACTTCCCACCTGACAATATCTCCGAGAAAACTACCATTCAACGAGAAATTCTACTGCAAGATATATCAGTGAGCAAAAAAACTTTCCAGAAAGTCAAACTTTTCCTTGTAGGAACTGTTCATCCCCAAGTATGAAGCAATCAATAGGTATGAAGAGAATGAATTCTTTCCAAACTGTAAGGAATCATCATATCAAGGCCAAATGCTCCACTAGTCGGAATGTATGGGGAATGGAATTAACTGGACACGCTTGCCGCCGCTATTTTGACACCAGCCTTAAATTTAGTAGGCACTAAGTGGATGACAAAGACCAGTAATAGTCACCAAAGAGGACATGTTTCGACCCAAACAAGATTGTCTAACTGAATGGGTGTGTTTTTATGTGAAACCGTTTTTCTACTCTGTTAGGTGATTGATCGAAATTACTGTAGCGCGCAAATCATTCACCGCAATGCACACATGGGCAGTCAACTACTAAACTACACATAGCTGTAGGCTGTGTAGTTAGAACGAAGGCTGAGTTTTTTCAGTTTAAATGACATATTCAGTACAGGCTTGTTGTTAAGCGGCCAGGACAGGCAACATTCACTCTTAAGTGACGGGTCTTAGAGCCTATCAGAGTAGTTCAAACACTAGATTCGGTCGATCGTTTCAGTCCGGGATAGCGTGTAGTTTTACAGTGTGGCGTCCAACCGCGCTTTTCCACAGGGCAGCAGGAAACAAGGACTAGGCGATGCTGAAGATGGCAAAATCCTGATTATATAATGTTTCCCCCATATTCTTCTGGTTAGCCGAGCCTACTGAGCAGCATGTTTGAATAAAGCGAAGTCAGAAATGCAGACGTGATGCACGCCCATTGCTTGCTATACGACAAATATATGTCTTAGTTGCAACACAATTTGGTGACAGGCAAACCTTATCTAGTCTAAATGAGTGTATCTTTCTGATCCAAATAAACCACCCGTATTGTGCTATAGAATGAAAAACTGCACACAACTTACTGCATCAGACTAGCTCGTTCAAAATAGGCAATGGCTTTTTCGCAGAACTGTGACTCGATGTAGTAGGCACCAAGCCATTCGATCACATCAAAATTGCATGGGAAGTACTTGAAGGACTAACGAATAAAGCGGAGAAGGAAAAACGTTTCTGTGACAGTCGAAAGATAATTGCGCAAAATATTTTTACTCAGCAGAATGAATCTCTTCCACTCTTTGGTTACTTGAGGCAAAACACGAATTTTACTCATTCGTGCATTCTTTCAAAGCGCACTCCTGAGCAAGATAACCAAAATATAGTAGGTGTTCGGTGAGAACTTGGATACTATAACAGTGATCAGGCTTGTCTACGTCTCCAAAGAATAAATATCCACCCAATCAATGTTTTCCCGTGCTTGAATTTTCAGCGGAATGAGGTAACTTTTTTCTATTGAGTGGTAATATCCGAACGAGAAATTGATGTCTATTTTTAACTAATAACCAGGGGTGATGTGGTTGCTAGAGGTGTGATTCAAGCATGTGCACATCAAGCCATTTTTGAAGGAAACGACACATTTACTAAACCAGAGTCATTACGAGAAAACAATGACGTTGACGCCCAAAGCTAAAATAAGCAGGTAGAATTCAGCCCAGGTGAGCTGGGTTGGATCAAAATAACTAATATATTTTTGGCTTAAAATAGGCATTTTATTGTATATTACACTAAGGAGTTTTTTCTCGAGGGAACACTACTGATAAGATCATTGAAGGACCTTTTACGGTTCACGAATGGTTTCTCCCATACTGAGGCTCACCAGGTAGGTTTCTGTAAAACCTTATATTCTGTGTTAAGCCAGATTGGACGCAATTTGCCAAATACACCCACCTGGACACTAATTTAGTTTGCAATGGAATGCTACTACAATACAGGGGTCATACATGGGGACTCAGCACCCTCTGGCTCCAGTATGAAGTGCAACAGTATTATTGGAGCAAAAACACTAGTTTGATCAAATATTTTTCTAGACATACATCATAGTAGTAGGAGAAAGCCTGGGATTTGTCGCCTTCCTGTTCGTAGTTGTCACCCAGACGTTGAAGCAAGAATGGATCCGATGGAACTAGGCCATGCAGTTGCATTGCCCTGTTAATGTCGTAGGTGAGAAAAAAAGAGCTTATAAATCTCTTGTGGTATGGCCTAGGATATCATTTATCGAATTATTGATGAAAACTGTAAATGTTTTCTGAGAGAGCTTGTAACACGCTACTTTCGTGGAGTGAGATTGACGGATATATATATATATATATATATATATATATACAAATGTACACTACTAGCCTCCATTTTGTCTGGGGTTTAAAAGGCTTTAAGAAAGACTGGGTTACCACCTATATAGATTTCCATGCGGATTATATGTTCTCAACAATTACGAGGCAAGAGTCAAGTAAGGTGAATAAGCAAGCATCGTTAGACCCCTTGCGGTTTTGTTCGTTCCCCTCCTCATCATCAGTGATAGAAACACATCAATAACACATGTTGGCGTTTACTGCAGACACATGGGGAAAATGAAAACTCGTCCGCTTGGGAGGGCAATAGCTGTTCAAAGCCGGACGGTGTAGCCGACCTGCTTTAGTTCTACCGATAAAAGTTAGGGGAAGCTTGTTCCGGGAAAACTTGCCACTTTTGTGTGAACTAATGCCAGAACCCAGTACAAGTCTCCTCATGTGCTGATTAGTAGCATTCAGTTGCTTGCCAAAAGTAAGACTTCTACTATCTTTGTGCGCTAGAATGACAGAGACAAACATTGCTAATGTTCTGCTGTCTATTCGCATTGGTGAAAAAATATATATATAAATAAATAACCTTAGGATTTCGAGTAGCATCCACGTTTGCTCTGACCACAAAGTTGCGGCATTCGTTACGGCACCTAATGACCTTCAGCAAGTGTGCTTATCGGCTTGAACAGTAACATGGTTCGATGTAATATGTTTAGCCACCTATTGGTGACTAGTTGTTATGCCCTCCCCCCGAGAGGAGCTTGAGAGGTGAGGTGCTATTAAGTTTCGCAAGCCTAGACGGGAGCAACCATCTATTCCCCCGTTTGTGACTTCACCACAAGTGATTGTGTTGTATCAATCACTGATGTGACCAGAAAAGCTGGCAGTACCTCCGTCCTGACAGCCTTACCTATCCGAAACTCATTCGTCAGCAACATCTCGATCAGCAGTAAAGAACTATTTTGCAACGGTTGCATAGCACCTCAGAATCTGTTAGCGGAGGATTGATGTGGAGGGCTATTGGATCTTGGTTGCGGGATTCTATATTAAATGTGGAAATGCCAGAATTAGTTAACTTCGAGTGGGGAATAGCTCTTGAATAGCTGCTATGTTAAAGAGTTGCCTATTCATTAAACATTTTCGTCAATATTTCGGAATGTTAGAAGCCCGACTGCTCTGCTTTTTTGTAGATCAGACGGCTGTTGTTTGGTTCGCCAGACTTGGAATTTTGCTTCCAGCGTTTAGTCAGCACTCGCAGAAACGTCAGTACGCGTTTGAGTGGGTACTTCCCCGTTTGCTGCTGGCCTTAATACGGCTTGCGAAAGATCAGTTGATATACCTTGATACGATTAGGTGACTGAGGATCAGCTCATTCGTTTTAAAACCGGTAAAGAACACATGTGGGATACTTAAGATGTCGAATCTGTAAAGGACTTTGAGTTCCGCCCTGGCCGGTGGGAAAGCATGAATAAACTTATGGACTGTTAATGGCATCCTGCAAGCTAATATTCCTTAGCGCTTATATTGCGATCAGGCAAAGCGTACTTTACAACAGAGGGTTACAAGATCATTTACCGGTTGACCATAAATGAACTTTGAAGAAACCAATTATTCCTATTAAATTGCCTACGACAAATCGTGCCAACTTATTGCTTTCATACGCCAGCAAGCGAACGCTGTTGTCTTTATCCTTAAGCGAAACTACGACATAGGGTGGTTTTGCTAGATAAGGCAGTCAGTTATCTGGTAACTGTATACACTAGCACTCTAGACGAGCTAGTAACGAAAAACGTACCATTCTTGTGCCTGTGTTGAATCATCAATTTTCTCATATATGTCCATGATTTGGTAGACCACGGGGGCACTATTGCGTAGCACGGCGTGAAGTTTGAAGAACGCTTCCAATGCCTCCTCAAAACGCTCTAGTTTTTTGCACACCAGGCCCAGGTTATACAGAGCCTCAACACAACTGGAATCATCTTGTAGCGCTTCGGCGTAGCAGTCTCGGGCTCTCTCGTAGTTTTGCTGTTTGAACAATACATTGCCCTTGTTCACCAGAGCTAGAATAAAATATTTGTGTAAAAATTAAGTCAGTGAAAGTAAGTGATTCGCCAAACAAGAATCCTGTTGTTAACCTCTCCATGAACATGTAAACTCATCCCTAGTAGAGCTGCAATTTCTTATTTGCTATATTGCGTACAAGTTGTTGCTACTGTGTGGTCATTTCGTTCAGTGGGCTGGCTGAGTTTGCTCATGCGGGTCCGCATACTGCTGCACTTTTATTTGTTCATTAAGCTCACTGAGACGGAAACAACAAACAGTATTTATTCCTTTGACAACTTTCTCAATCCCTACCCACTACTATTTACTTACTCAAATATTTACATACTTGCTTACTAACTTGCTTATCTACTTATTTACCTACTTGCTTGCCTGCTTGCCTGTTTACTTACTTGCCCACTTACATTCATACATGCTTACTCACTCACTCACTTTTATGCTAAATGTTACTTGGTAGAATGATGATAAATGTGCCGGTTAAAGCTACCGTAGTTTTCCAGCTCACAGTAAATAAACAGGAAGATACAATAACATGCCTGATGGATTGTAGCGGTCAGCTGCCAAAGCCTGGTCGGCGTATCGATCAGCCTGCGTGAGGTCACCTTCAAGAAAGTGCAGAAAGGATAAATTCGTAGCGGCTGTACTAGCCACACGTGCATCTTTCCGCTCAAATGACTTGAGTGTTTCGATTGCCTGTAAGTATACAGAAATTTAAAACGTGTTCAACACATTTGTAATGCTGTCCTTATCGGACAACAACGACAGGTAAGAAAACAGTGAAAACAAACAGGGGTCCTCGCACCAACCTTTGTATGTAAAGACTTTCCGCCATCCTAAAACGAATTGGCAGAAATAAGTAGTTGCATACACAAAAAACAAACGCGTGCCGACCACTTCCTAGTCTGAAGTTCGAAGTTTCTACAAAGCAATGAGAGCATGGAAACTGATGGGTGACCTTCGTAGTTCAGCACCAATAACCGGAAGGATGTTCATATCTGCCTGTGAAGCAAAGTTTCCAACTTAGTCACAGGTAAGCCAAATACACAAAAAGTATGACCTGTAAGTAAGTCTAAGGTAGCTTAGAACGAAATCAAGTTACTTATGAACACACTGAAAGCTTCGGTCAATTTATTGCAACCATAATGAAGAAGCAAGATCAGATTGGCAGTCTACGCCCGGAAGACCTCTGGCCGCAGATGGCTGAAAAAACCTGGAACAATAAGAGACGTGTACTATCCAATTCTGGTAACGAAACACCTATCTTTCCTGCATATTTAAATTGCATCAAAGTTACATAGTGTGACTTTGGTGCAACAGATTGGTTCCTTTCAATTTAGGGTAGCTGGAACCCCTGATAACTATACATTCTACCGCACTGTTAGTTCCCTTTAATATACTACTGCGGCTCCAGGGCTTGAACCTTATATTACGTGTGTACTAGTGAGTTGTGAAGGGCACCTCATTTTTTTCGAAGCCTTTCCAAGAAGTTTCAATCATTGGCCCAACAAATCTGTAGAGGATAGGCTATTACGACGGCTGGAACCACATAAATGCATTTTACTGACCTGACAACGCAAGTTTTCTCCAAACATAACTTTTAAGAGGTTCGTCAGCTTTCCAACTAATCTAGGCCCGCAAGTGTGGTAAAAAATCATTGGCTTCCCCCTCACGTTGTTGGAGGATTTGATTGAGTACTTTTAATACTCTGAACTGAACACCAAATAATTTCAGTACCTTCAGCTTCCACTAGAGCATCATCTACATAACATCAATGGTAAACTTGCTTCCATTTGTATGATGAGAAAAGACGGAAACTGGAACAAGTGGACTGTCAAGTGCGAAGTCGTCGAATAGTTTATAGGCCAATTCAACAAATGAACATTGATATCTTCGGATACTGCTGGAATGGGAAACCGGAATATTCCAATCGAAAGACGGAATACACAAAATCGGCAGTTTTCAATAGTGTGACGCTTGTACAAAGCGACTGCACCTGTACAGGGCAGAAGTTTTCACTCTCCAAATCAAAAGCTTCAACTCATCCACAACGCCCATTGAATTTACAGCATTGTACTTATCTACCTTTGTAATCACTATTATCAAAAATTGACCGGTTGTCATGTCAGTTTGCACTGTTCTGAATTTGATATGCCTAAGAATGATTGTAACTCCTGATTATTGTTTTAAAGGTTGAAATATCTTAAATCACTCGCAGCTGAGATTCCCTTGCCCCATTTCCTCTTAGGCTGAAGTGGTGCTCGCTTGACACCCCCGAAGCGCTTGTATTCAAAAATTCACATACAGGTAGTGATAAGATCCTCATCTGAGATATCGTTTTGCCAGTGAAGCCGATCAATGATAAAAAACCGAAAAGCACTGTACAGCCGTTGATCTCTATGGGGAATCATAATCAGTGTCCATCTTGCGAAAATTCCATCTGAGAAGCCGTCATTCGAGGAGTCAGTCAAACATGACTACGGGACGTGGATTCTGCAACTAAGGAATGAGCAATGCCACACTCCGTTAAAGTGAGAGCCAATGGCGTTGCTTTTCAGTCTCTCTTGGTGTTTTGTGAGATCCGCACAGTTGATGGTTTTCAACAAGGATGAAGTCATTGTACAGCGCTTCTCGGCTTTCCAGCGTAGACTGGTTTCAATTACATGAATAAAAATCTCAACTAAAAATTAACAAACTCCCTCATACTATCATCAACAATAGCATGTGCTGATTAAAGATGATTAATTGATGCCTACAGTATAATTCCACTTAGATTCGCCATCTTGTTCATCTCCCAGTCTGACAGTTGATATAGTGGTTTCTGAACTGTCTGTGGTGGTCATTATCTTCCAATATATGATTATCTCCTAATCACCTCTTTGGGAATTCGAGTTTTTGGGCCAATTCCAACTATAATTGAGACATTGACAGCCAAAAGCCTGAAAATGCCTTAGATCCTCCAACAAAATCGACCAAGTCTCGCAGCCATATGGCAGGCCAGCACTATAGTCTGATGAAAGCACCCATTTGTGACCCACTGAGATGTTCTACTAATGCCACGAGTGCTGCAAAATGGTAAAAGCAATTCTGGCCTTTAAGATCCACGCGTTCACTTCGTCTGTCGTAATACCGTCAGAGCCAGTGCAACTGCCAAGTTCTTGTATAGCCTTCCACAACATTGGGTGTAACTCCTCAAATTGTCAGAAGCGTCTGCAAGGACTGTACTTTCTGCGATAAAACTGTACATTTTGGCCGCAACCCACGTACCGAAGGACTGGATGTTCTTGATCAAATTTTCAAGAAATACTTGCGATCCTCGCATGCTTCCAAAAATGAGGACAATGTCCTCTGCATCTCCACGCTGATGTAGGTGTTCTGAACTACAGGGCTTTGCAGACCTTCCCGTTTTTGGCCTAATATCTCACTATCAACTATACTAAACAAAAATGAGGAGGAAAGCTTTTGAAGAGTTTTCCATGCATATTCTGGTGCCAACAATTATCTGAATCAAACAGCGCATGATATTCACAAACTTCTGGAGCATATTCTATGCAGCATGCATGTTGACAAGAACGAACTGCTTGACAGAAGCCAGCTCTTGAAGTCAAGGAACACCAAGATTGTAGGGTGCCTATACGAATATGCGCCTTCGCTAACAATTGACGGAGTGTAAGAGTATGATTCACACAGCATCTTCCGGGCCAGAATCCTGCTTGCTGTTCCCTGGGCACGTCTTCTCGCGCCTTCCTAAGTCAATGTAGAACAGGCGACACAAAGAGCCTTACGTCGGGGTCAGACTAATTATTCTGAGATTGGCAAGCTCACTGCGACCACACAACAGGGACCTATGGTAACCACTACAGATTCACTTAGGGACGAGCAAACTGGAAAATAAGTAAATGGATATTCCACCTCCATCTCTGAGCAGGGTGGCTGGAAAATCTTCAGCATCAGCAGCTCTGTGACCCTTGGGAGACCCTCCGGAACCCATCGAGGCTTCCATTTTCAAACAGTGAGTCAGTAATCTGGCTGGGCTTCTGCATGTGGTTAGTTGAATTGTCGCTGAAAGTGCTTAACCACACGACTGGGGCGCTCTTTTTAAAATATAAGTAAGCTGTTTTTTCCACTGATTAGTTCGCCTATCGGCGGCCTCCTTGGGCCTATTGTGAGTAACAGCTTAACTTGTTTCCTCACGTTACCAGAGGTTAGTGCCTCCTCTATTTTTTCAGCTTCCTGAATCTACCAGGATTACTGGTGCGCACAGGCACTATTTCCACCTGAAGTTTGCAGCTCATCGACTATTTACTCGTCCAAGCAGTGAGCAATTTCCGAATGTTGCTTGATATCCAGTGCTTGGATCTTGTTGGTTTCGCCGTTCGAAAAGCGGAGCACCTAGTATCTTTCAGAGTTGCACTAAAAGTCAGCATCGGAAGAAGTCTTGTCTGAAAAGAAATTCAGTACCTGATTCTGGTAGACTTGTTCCGCATCAGAATCCATAAAACGCTCAACTAGGAGTATTAGGGATTAGGGCGTGGTCAGAATCCACTTGGGTGATCCAGGACTAGCGAAAGCCAGTGACTGATCCAAGCAATCCATGGCCAATGGCGATGTGCTCTACCTGTTTTGGAGGTCTAATAGCTTGTGGTGGCACCACGTCGCCAGGTGGTTTTGTTGTTTCGGAAGTTAGTTCTGCACATAAGTGGATTGTCATCAGTACATCACTGTAGGAGGCGTCTGTCGCTGCACATCCATCCCCAAAACGCCAAGCTTCGGAGGTGGTTTTCATTCGTAACTTAGTCCTTATCCTTAGCAGGAAAGTGATCAAAATATACCAAATCAAAGTGTAGTGATGGCTACACAACCAACCTGGTGGAAATCCCTTTGTTTTAAGTACATCACAGCTTTGTCAATCTCGAGGTCATTGGCAATTTCGTGATACATGGACATCTTCACTTGTTCTATACACCAATCGTACCCAGTGTTGAAGTTGGATTCGATTGCAGGAGCGATCAACTTTGCAGCCAATTTGATGAAGTTCTCAGCCTCCGCTTTTCTGCACATCAGTAGTCGAATAAATAAACTGTATTCAAAGGAACATATCTACCTTTTCTTTTCGAATAATCGGAGTTCATCATTACGTATCACCTCCAGGATGAGTTCGTATTGCTTGTCGTCCTAAAAAATGGAGTGAGCGGATTTAGACACTGATTATCAGGAGATATTCCTGTCAAAACGCCGGCAAGGTTCTTTATACAATCCATACAAACTTTTTTGCCTATGAGCCTTGCATATTGCGTTTCAGATAGCCAAACTTCTGGAAACAATACTTTGATGCAAACATCAGTTGGAGATTTTAAGTTACAACTGTTGATGAGATTCTACATTGGCAAACAGTTAGATATAATGCCCCTCGGGAGATCTGAGCCAAATGAGTGCTTTAAGCAATCTGAGGACTTAGGAAGTGAAGATGCAGGAAGTAGAGTTTCGTGCGAAACTTCGCATAGGCATTCAGTCACGAGGATAATGAAAACAGACTGGGGTTTGCAACCAATATTGAAAATTATTCATATCAGAGTGCGATTAAATGAATAAATTAGTAGGTCTTTGTGGACTTTGACGAATGGCCACATAACTCGAAGCTTGAGAGCACGGATTATTAGTTGGCTATCAACCAGACACTTAATGTCGGGGGGACTTTCAGAATGCATTCAGGTGACTTTAATCTCCCTCAGCAAGATATATCGGAAGGAGTGCGCTTTCTCAGAGGTACGTGATTTAAACTCTCGCTTCAGTTACTGAGCAGTTTTCAAAAACAATCGGCTGATAAAGTGCGATAATTACTAATAAACACAGGAATGTTTATATTAAAATGTCTGTTTTCACTAAAACACTTTATGAAGAAACTTTCCTCTTTAGTGAAGGCGACACGAATCCGTCGAAACAGCTCGCGAACTTACGAGGAAATTTTCACATATTTCACGTGGTACCGACAGGACATATGTCTTGATGTTCACCTTGTTTATTAATTGTATACTGACTAGGTCTCAGTCTGGAATGTGCGAATTAAGCCTGGACGAAAACGTGCAATCGCGCGCCAACAACAAAGCACTCACATTGTGCGAGAGATATCTATCCTCGTCATCCAAGTGTAAATCCACTCGGAGCAATTGCTGGAAAGCGTATCTCATCTTATTCCGATCACCAGTCAAAAAGTAGCACAAAATCAAATTGAAACCGGTCTTCACGTCAGGCTCTTCTTGCATGATGTGTTCAAAAGAAGTTATCGCTTCGCTGAACTGCCCAAGTTTGACAAACGTGATGCCAATGTTCTGCATGATTTTGATTCTGAATCATTGGTCATTTAGTTCTCGCCCCCTCGTAGGAGAGGGGCAATCAACTTACCTCATTGATTTGTGTGTGTTGGGAAGTTGATCAAGACCCATTCGGTAAAACTTTATCGCCTTGGAATAATTCTTCTGAGCAAAGTAAATATTGCCAATGTTTACTTTAAGACGACCTTCAAGAGAAGATTAGAGAAAATTTAGGTTAACCCACCATTGAAAACACAACACCAAATAGCAAAAGGTATGGTATCGGAGAATTCGTCACTTCCGACTAAACTGAAATGGTGTTGCACAGACCACCAATCCAGTTCCAAATCTTAAACAAAAACTGGTCAACAGTGTTTTTGGGTCTAAAACACAATCATGAGCAGCGAAAATTCAGAAAGGTATTAAGTGTAATTAAGCTTTATTTAAGAAACGGCCGTGTAGAATAGTTAGGTAGCCAAGATTTTAAATAACACCACAACTGTACGAAGCCTGGCATGGCATTAAATCTGTCCTTTTTGCCACGGACGTGTAAAATAGATTAGAATTAATGCTTCATGACTGGTAAACTCCGACCGCAGAAAACGCGAAATTTCTGTTTGTCTGTGTTGACCGATGGTTGTTGAAGGGTAATTTGATAATAATCAATACGTATAGCAATGAAAATACAACTAAGGTCGAGAGGTTAACGTTACTGCAGGGACGTTCTGGTGAAATCAACAAAGAAAATATGGATAACATATTACTTCTGAAAAAGTGGAAAAACCACAGAATATCTGGAACCATAAGAACTATTAACATCAACACTCTGATCTCATTGTTGTTCTTTTCACCGAGCCTAGCAGTTGGATTGCAAACACTTCATCACCAATAAGCGTGACATCATCAGTGCTGACACTTACATTGTTACTAGTTTCAGTGATATCTTGGTGCAGCACATAAGATGCTTCTATGCGGACGGCTCTGCCTATAGAGACCCTTAAGCGTGACATCATCAGTGCTGACACTTACATTGTTACTAGTTTCAGTGATATCTTGGTGCAGCACATAAGATGCTTCTATGCGGACGGCTCTGCCTATAGAGACCCTTTCTCTGTGACAATTCTGTGGGACTGTACAAATGAAGACGCTACTATTTATTGGGAATTGATAGGTTTCCTCTACTTACATAAGGGAGCGTGAATACGTTTAAGTGACAATAGTGCTTCGTTAACTATTTGCCAAAGGAAAACACTAAGTCACACGTTTGTCAGTTAACCATGACGTAAATAATGGACGAGACCTAATTGACTGAGGACTTACCGGCATGAGCGAATAGTTTATTTCGTACTATAGCCTGGTAAGTGTTCAGTGCCTCTTGGTACATTCCACTAGCTGTGTAGCGATTTGCCAGATTAAAGAGTACAGAGTAGGTCAGGTCGAGATTTATCTGATCGGCCACACCGAGTTGCTCTCGTTGCCTGACGAGAACACGTTCTTTACGACCGGCTTCTTTTGCCTTCTCGAATGCAGTAGTTATTTCCCCACGGCAGGCAGCAATACAGCTTTCTTCGATAAGCTGATTGACCTGGAAGTATTGTGGACAGACGAGGGCCTGATGAGCGCAAGGCATGTTAGTTTACGAGATAGATGAATATAGTGACAGCATTTAACGCCATACTTCAGTGACCATGCATATACCGGGTACACCTTTCAGGTCAAACCGTCGAAAATTATGCAAACTGAAGTTATATCTAATGTGGTCTTGACGGTATGCTCACTGAGAACCCAGCTAAATCTCTCATTTATCATGTCCTTAAGCAACTGAATGTGCTACACCAGGCCACCTTAATTTTCGTTTGGCACCATGTCTGAGATATCGCAACATAGTTTTTTAAAGAACACCATAAAAGAGAAAATCAGTTGGGTTCCAGGTGAGTCTCCCGTCAAAACCAAACTGGTATGCAAATGAGTGTATTTCGCTAGGTTCGTGCAACTTGGGTTCAAGTAGATCCCAAGGTTGAAGAAAGCTCGGGGACCTCACCAACCTGATGAGCCCCAAGAAGGGCTGCGTCACAGTCCTTAGCAAATTTATGAGTAGTGTATTACGTCTATGAAGAATTATCTATTGTCGTAAAAATCACTAAATACTTGTAAAGTCCCAAGTAGTATTGTGTAAAAGAACACTCCATTCCAAATTCATTAGATGATTCTGTAGATTGGTGTGAGCATAGAACCCTCACTTACACATACACACATTATCATCATCATCCACAGCATGACATTACTGTTCAGCACCGGTGCTTCACCGCTGTACAACCATGATTTATTTGAAAGCCTTACTGTGAAGTAAAGAATATAAGTGGATGGAGAAGGGAATTAGTGTCAGTTTGCTAATCATTGCAGACCCCCATTCAGGCAGTCTGGATAGAAACTGACAACAAGAACGTCACTAACACCGGTTGGTGGCCATATTTTGGAGTATCCCCAACCAGCCTCAGTGAGGACCAAGTGGTCCTCATCTTGCAAGGCGAGTATCACCGACAGCACCCATACCTTCCGTAATCTCTTTCACACCCTTCTGCCGGGTCAATGGTTGGCCACCTCTCTGCTTCCACCACTCTCAGTTGGACATAAAAAACAGCGCCCTCTTCAGCAAACGATGGTTCGGCGTATGCAGCGCATATCCCAACCAACACAGCTTCTGGTGATGGACATACTCTTAAACGGAAGTGCCCGCTGCACAAACGAACACTCGCTTTCTAAGTACCACGTTACGGATTCGCCAACACCAACCCACACGAGCTGTGGTTCTGAGACAACGACGACCTAAAGACGTCTCAGTTTCGCTGCTCGAACAGGCCAAGTCTCTCAGTCATACGACAAAAGAGCCGCACCGTAGCTTGATGCACACGTCTCTTGGGATTCAGGGACACACCACTTGGACTCTATAAGTGTCTCAAATTAGCAAACGCGACCCGTGCCTTGCAGATTCGTGAATTGACTTCATCTGTCACACTACAATCAGAACTAATACACCTTCCAAGATGCGTAAAAGGCTCCACAGCTTCCAATATCTCTCCGTGGATTGTAAGTGGCGTGTTCAGTGACTGCACGTTCACGAGCATGACCTTACACTTTGTGGGTGCAAAGTGCACACCAAAGGACTGGATGACTTTGGTCAGTTTATTTTCTCCTATTCGAGGATGAGAACGATGTCATCTGCATGTTCCAGATCGACAAGGTTTTCGTCACAGGCTTTTTGAACACAGAGGTTTTGGAGACCTTCAAGCGTTCGTCTCATTATTTCATCGACGGCGAAGTTAAACAGGAAATGGGAGAGTTAACACTCCTGACGGACACCCCATTGTGTACGGAAGCTTATGGAGAGCTCTCCGTACACTCTCACACGTTCGGAAGTCTGAGAATACAAACTCCTGGGGCCTTCCTGGGTGTGTGAGCGTGTCAAGAAGAACAGACCGATCACAGGGGTCGAATGCGCCTTGGAAATCCAGGAACACTAGAATTGTGCGTGGCTTGTACGTATGACCTTTTTCTAGCACCTGGTGAAGTTTAAAGATTTAGTAAACGCAACATCTACCGCGCCAGAATCCTGCTTGCTTCTCTGAAGTCAGTGCTTCACGAGCCACCATAAATCGACGAAGCACCAGAGACGCCAACAGTCTCGTTACGATCGGGGTCAATCTGATAGCCCTGCGGTTAACATAGCCAGTACGAGCCCCTGTTTTGAAAGTGAGCACTATCACTTCCCAGATGTCTGGAGCAGAATCCTTCTTCCAAATGCAAGCGGACAGATCAGACAAGCGCTGACTTCAACTCCGTCTTTGAAGAATGTGAGTGGGAGGTCATCCGGAAAAGAAGCTTGGTGGCGCTTGAGAGAACACATACACACACACTATCCTGTGAAACAAAACTACTCATCAAGATGTCAGTAAAATTCATTGGAACAGTTCTAGTTGCACCGTCTTCCGGTGATGCGACTAAAAAGCATAGAAAGGGTTGCAACGAAAAGGTAATCAGAATTCAGCCAAAACCGCCAGTAAATTGGAGCGCCTTCTGTCGGAAACTGGATCAATCGAAGTTCGAAACCGTCAGCTGTCTATTCAGCATCCTCAGAAGAGCACCCGGTCCATTCTCTTATAGAGTTAACATCGCTTTCAGCTACTGAGCTGTCGGTGCCAAATTCACTGCGAATTCGTGAAAGATCACATCTAAAACCCTTGGGAAGAGGGTCATTCTGATGTTCCTTCCTTCACTATGGCCTGACTTACTTCCAGGTATTGTCTGGCATGACTCCTTGACATCCCACTGTTGAATGAAAACCGAAGTTAGCTACTGCTTCCAATGCATGGCTGCATTTCATCGTTCTCCTTATCCTCGGTGAACAGGACTGTGGCAGCTGGACCCGATGTAATTCGGCACACGGAGTGTAGCTGAAAAAATGACTTCCATACGTTTATCGAACTTTATTAGGTGAAAAACCCAGTTTATTGACGGAATCTAATGAATAATGCATTCGTCCCATCCATCACACTTAAGAATGGGCGAGCAACTCCACCGCTAACACTTTCTTAAGCATTTGTCTACTCACAAGTAAGCAGAAAGTTCAGAAAAAAATCAGCAGGCCAGAGACACTGGTAGTCTCGCGACATTACCCACGAAATAGACAGTCGTATAACACTGCCTGGTAAGCACCTCGGTGGAACCCGCCAATGTGGTTTCAATAGTTTCAGTATTTTTAGGTGCATTCGGGTGCAGAAACCACGGTTAGTTCGGTTAAATGACAGCGCTGGTTTAATTAGTCAGTTGACAGGACTAGACTACTGGAAAGAAGGTTGAATTTTCTCAGGAATAACAAACTAAAATGTCATGAATATGAATATCTAACAATGAATGATATATTTTGGTGGGCTGAGACGTTCCATAAGGCAGTAAAGTGATAATCGGCCATGCCAAGTCAAACAAGTGGTCGCGAAGTGGCGAGTTAAAAAATACTTGGAGTTTTGAGATCCACAGTGTTGATGATTCTCAATAAGAATGAAGCAGCTGTGTAGTGCTTGTTGTCTTTTCAGCATAGACTGGTTTCACTGAAGGGACAAAATCTCCGCCATAGTTTCACAAAACGTCTCACATTGCAAATAAAATACATAGGGTCAAATGTATAAGCACAACGTAGCTAAATCTCTTACTCCTTTCTCCATGGCCCTTATGCGCTCCTCCGGACTATCCTCTGGCTTTGCTTCAAGTGGTGGTGCGGCAGCTATCTCTGGTGGTGCCTGGCCCGTACCGAGGCCCATAGCGCTCGACATTCGGCGACCCATTGATGAATACCCAGCTGCACGCACTGAAGTCATTGGGCGACTACCGTCTGTGAAGTTTGGTCCAGCTGCGGTTGTAAGGCGAACGCCAGTTTGCAGCCGACCAAGTGACGTGGTGATTGCAGCCCTGGTAGCTGCTGTGGATAGGTTGCGTCCAAGTACCTGATAGCAATTTTGCATTGTTAAGGCATGTGTAGTTAGCTTTAAACTAGATGGGAAGCGCCTGACGAAAGCAACCCAGAACCTATGAAAATCATAAGCAAAATTACAGTAAATTTCGGCAGTTGGTCTTGGTATAAATGATGGACGGAACTTATCATTAAGAGTTATATGGTGGATTCAACCAACATAAACCAAATCAGGACCATTAACTCAAGTTTGCCATAAATAGGCAAAGAACATAGCATAACATTATTGTGAGATGGAGAGAAAGACAGAAAATTGCATTTGATTAATACGAGACTGACATCCAAGGGTCTCACAGCATTTAGCCCTCCAGATAATAAACCCTTTAAAAGATCCTCTGGTAGGCCATTGCGTCTGCAAATCGAGTCGCACCGTATGTCCCAGTTCAGTGCGGTACCGTTCAAAACAACTTCTTGCTTGAAATTAAACAACAAAGGTAGAACAAAAGTTTAGGGCAAATACGCTCAGTGGCATTCATAGTTGGTTTTCGTGAAAGACTCACCTGAATTCCAGATAAAGAAGAACCCCATAAGCAAGAGTTGCAGCTGGGATTCAAATGAGTCTTCCTTGAAAACTAAACTGGTATGCAAATGAGTGTATTTGTCGAGTGTCGTGCAAGTTAGGTTCAACTGTAACTGAAGATTAATTGGAACTGGGGGACTGCGCCTACCTGATGAACCCAAAGCAGAAGAACGAAACCGGTCGTGTTCTGCTGAAAAGTTTCCAGGAACCTTATGAGCAGTGTGTCATGTTTTTAGAGTTTTAGGAAGTTTGCAGCAGCTTGCTGCTAGTTTCAAACACACCAGTGGATCCTAGCTGTTCTTTTTTCTTTTCAGATCCTCCATAATCGCCTCAAAGATTTATAGGCGATTCACCAAAGTTATTTTCAAGCCAGCCCTATAGATTCCCACACATGAGGAGGCGGAAATAAAATATGTATGAAAATTCAGCGTCCTCAACGACACTCAGAAACAACCCACTGCTAGCTTAGTACTTGAAAAGTATTAGTTGTCAACATCGTAGCATATAGTTTGATGGCTTTGGTACTGACCTATCCATTAGCCGGTCTACATTGTGATGTGAATCGTACAACAGGAAACAGCCCCCTTGAAACACATGGAAATCGGCCCAAATAGATCAAAATTTCAATACTGAAAGTTGAACAGAAAGCATATTACGGATCTGTAACCAGCACTTGACGTTTTCTTTGACCATGAAACAGCCTTCGATTCACCTATTCTATTCTGTTCTATTCCATTCTATTCTATTCTATTCTATTCTATTCTATTCTATTCTATTCTATTCTATTCTGTTCACCTATTCTGCAATCACTCGTTCGAAAAAGAATTAGTTTGATGTTTTAGTCATTCTTTAAAGCAGGATATCACAAACTTTTCGTCTTATTGAGTTTTACAACAGACTAAATATTTCTTCCGGTTCTAGTGAACTCGGTCATGGCTGTATCCTGTAGCCTTTTGTTCTTGTACCACTTTCCACTGGTGTCTCAATGAAGACCACATACCTAAATTTGAAAAAAAAAACAGAACCATCTTGTGACGAAATCTAACTGGCAAGTTGTACGTGGTCACTTGTTTTTACGTACAATTTGGGCCTGAAGACACCTAGTCCTGCTCAACGATGACACTTTTGTGACATTTTAGCTTAAGCAATTGATGTTCGGATTAGGTTGCTCTTTTGTGGCCTGGGCATCTTGGCAGTATCCCAGCCCCCGTGCTTCCTTAGGGTAGCATGACAGCTGGGTACTGGAAGGGCATTAGAGCTGAACGATTTTATAGCCCTGTAATCCATGATTGCCCTGCAGCAAGTAAAATAAATGAACACGTCATCAAATTGAAAGGATAAATCACTACCACAGGTAGACATGAGTCCCAAAACCACCGTGATGTGAGAGTTCGTCACTTTCATACGGTACATAAGACCTAAAACCTCTTCAAAAAGTTTGATTACTGGTGTGTATGCACTTTGGCTGTGTACTTTAGTCACAGTAGGATCACGAACATGCTTCTCGTGCTTTCAGGTACCGAGTGCTGTGCAGTCACCGAAAGTATGGACTAGGCTTAAGGTTGATCTGAGGTTGAAATGACTAAAAAATTGGATACATTGTTCTTGGCACTAAGAAAGGGAGAAAGATAAAGCTTTTATACCGAAGCCACCAAGGGTACCGCTTTTAGTGTTCAATCAAGCCCCAGAATAAAAGTGTCAGTGAATAGATAGAACACTCATCGCTTTGGTACCTGCGTTTGAAAATCCTAGTTTGAGGCTCTGGTGTGCGATTATTAATTGGCTTATAGTTATCGATCGGGAACATTAAATGCAGCTTTTCAAACAGAAATGAAAGGACGTTTCTTCATACACCTGTGGCTGACTAAGAGAGAATTCAGTGTTTACAACACAAATAACTAGAATTAACCACTCAAGGAGCCCCATTCCATGAGCTAAAAGTTCTTCCAATAAGAAGTGCACCAAATACTGTTCCGTGTGCTGCAGCTGCTGGTGGCCAAAGGCATCGTTAAGTTGTAGCACCCTTTCGCTGTCTAGCTGCCACGTCACAGGAAGGAAGCGTGGGACTGAGTAGGATGATGACAAGCAGTGTCTGAATAGGGTTGAATTATTCAAAGGATAAGAAGCTATTATGTTGGAGCTAATGCACTGTCGAAATTTATAGTGCGCCCCACTTCTGGTGCCCATTCCTAAGTTATTAGTGGCACGTTCAAAAACTGTGCATTCTGCAGCATGATCCCGCACTTTGTTAACGCGAACCTCATGCTGAAGTATTGGTTGAAGTTGGCCACTTTTAAATTAAAGCACGTGCTTCCTGCACTCTTTCTCAAAAAAGGACAAGATTGTCACCTGCATACTCCAGGTCGACAAGGTTCCCTCTCGGAGATCTGAATACGGGTGTTTTGGGGAATTTCCAATGTTCGCCGCATTCAATCACCAGCGGCCGAAAGTGAACAAAAAATAGAGAGAATGGGCTCCTTGTCGGACGCTACTGTTTGTGAGGAAGATTTGATGAGCTTCTGGCACACCTGGCGCACACAATTATGTTGCTCAAATAGCGCATCCTATTCACAAAATTTTGGAGCATATTCTGTTGAGCAAACATGTTTGAAAGAACGAACAGGTTAACGGACACGAACGCCCTCTCGAAGTCAAAGAAAACCAAGATTGTAAGGTAACTATACGGATGCGGTTTTTCTGACAATTGACACATTGTAAAGGTTTGATTTACACAGTACGTTCTAGCCCAGAGTTCCGCCTTCTGTTCTTGGTCATCGCACGCCTTCGTAAGACGACGAAGATTGGGTGGTCCCGAAAGCTTGGTTATAACGGAAATCGAGCTGATTCCTCTGTGATTGCCGAACTCACCGCTAGCATAGCGGAATCAAATCAATCGGTTGGAATGGTCTCTTTTGTTCAGTTAGTGGAAAATAAATGGCAAAACTGCCGACTGAGGATACCACCCTCATCTCTGAATAGGACAGATAAGAGGTCATCTTCTGGACCAACAGCTCGGCTACATTTATGGGAAAAATGCAATCCCTTAATTCTAAAGCTGTCAGAGTCTTTTCGTTTACGGTTTACCACTGTGTCTCAGTTTGAACATCCAGATAAATCATTACATTACTCAATTGAATTTTTGTTGAGACTGTCCAACCCAGCAACTAGGGCACTCTTCGCCTTCAGGGATAAATCAACTGTAGTTGCAACTGAATGTTTCGCACGCCAGCGGCCTCTTGTGCCTATTGTGAGTATCGGCTAGGTAGTTTTGTGTATATTACCAAGGTTTTTTGCCTCTTCTGTCTATTCAACCTTCTATAACTACCAAGCCAATCGACCCGCGCAAATCTATCTTTTCATCTGAAATCTAGCAACTTGTTGATTGGTGTTATATGCGTCCAAGTTTCCAGCAGTTTTTATGTGGTATTCGACGCCCAGCACTTAGGCCTTGCTGATTGCGCCTTTCCACAAGCAGAGCTTTCAACATCTTGCAGCGTTACGTTGTAAGTGCGGCTTTTTGCCACAAAACCTGATCACCATGGAGTTGGGCCATTAACTGTCCCTAACGCACTGCAAATATCAAGATAACATTAAAGTGAGGGTTTAGCACACAGAACCTCGAGAAGTGGCGAAGCATTCGATAATGTGTATCTGAAAGTGTACGGCCTTTTAGATGCTTATCGGTTTTCTTCACCTCGAGGACTTTGCGCACCGTCAATCAGTATCATCCAGACAATTCCACGTAATCTGGGGGCCATAGGGAGCATCAGCTGTGGATTCAGCGTTTTGACCCTCAATGCCATTTAACCCTTTAAAACAGTGGGTTTGTCAGTATTCTGTGTGCAGAACTTGCAGATGGGCCCTGAAGGTGGCAGAAAAAAGTAATTTTTACCCGCCTGCGTAGGCTTATTAAGTGTAAAATCCGTACGTATGGAAAATACACGAAGTAACTGGTTGCTTCTCAAACGAAAGCAGCTTGATTCGTAGCCTTCCCAGGGAACTTAAAAGAACACCAACTAGAACGTGTTGATGTAGAGTACTATAACCACTGGGTGGTAGCGAAAGTATTCTGACTAAGAGCTTTGTTCCAAGATCCCACAACTAGACGCAAATTTTGTCTAAGGGCACTTTGTTTAGTGAGTTAGTACTAAACGTGATACGTTTGTTGATCTTCCTTAAGGCAACTTGCGTAAGCCTGGTTAGTAGTTATTTGAGCCATCCCATAAATAAGAAACCATGTGCCGGCAAAACAAAACTTTTCTCTCCGTTTAAAAGTTGAGATTGTGCGCCCGAATCTTCCAATATTTCAAAGGCAAAATGCATGAAGCACGCTTAAGTTATGCACTCGAATCCCATAAGAACACTTCCAGTTTAATTTCAACCTTTCACTGTTACAGATTTTAGTGGATTTTTTTACTGACGTCAACTTTTCACGTCCTTACACGGATATTAGACTTAAGTTTATGGTACTAATAATTCTCCCAGTATGAAGTGACGGGTATCCGAGGCTTGTTTTTAGAGAGTCGATTTCCCCAGTATCCTAAAAAAAATTTCGGCAACCTTCCACGACATCTCCAAAATAAGTAAGCACTGTGAATCTCAGCTTTAGATCTAGGATCTGACCCCGTGGCATTGCAAACAATACTAAATAATCTAAATAATTCTGCCTCGCGGTTTGGTATGCGCTTCACACCTGCAAAGTGTAAAGTGCTACTGCAAGACTGGGTGGGCTCGAACCCTAGCCTCATGCTTGCGGATGAACCGATTGAGGTAGTAGACAAATTAGTCTACCTGGGCAGCTGTATCAGTCCCGGTGGTCTCGCGAAAGATGATATTTCCATCCGGATTGGGAAGGCCAGAGCAGCTTTTGCGAACCTACGTCACCTGTGGCGTAGGCGTGACATCAGCTTCTCTGTCAAGGGTCGGGTTTACAATGCTGCGGTG